AATATAAATAAACCTACCGTGTTCTTCTTTTTGTATAGTATAAAACAGGCCTGGTTAGTACTTGCTTCGTGTATATTTTACTACTCTTACATGAGTAATATTAAAAAATTAGATAAACAAGCATTCGTAATTTGATACTACTAAACTAAATTGACTTCGTAATCGGTAGACGGTAATGCATCGGTTATTCGGCGGTTAAATACTATCTGATGTAATCAATAAATATACTATCAATTACATTGACCAAAACAAATAATATAGATTGATGACTTTTTTTTTGTAAACAGTAAGTCTAAACGGTTGTTTGCTCAAATCAAAACAGACCACATGAACTCTAATGTATACTTTAGTTTAACACACCATTTTACTCGTTTGATTACTAACCACTCAAATTGTAGTAAAAAGAGTATTAATCAAACATAATGGTAGTTGACGTGTTTAGCATATGTCCAAAAACATGTTCCATATCCTCGAATCGATCCAGAAGATTACTAGGAAGACAGACGAATTAAGTCCATAAAAACGAGTTCGGTCTAAATCTACAATTATGAATCTTAAAAAAAAATGATTAACACGAGAAATAAGAAACGTACTTAGAATTAAGAATTTTTATTATTTTTAAAGTTGAGTCGACTGACTTATTTTTATATAAATATTTCATGTATTTATCTTTAGTAAAGATCGCAATTTAATAATAAATTGGTTAATGCTTTTAGAAACCTAATCTTCTCGTGACCAAAAAAAAAAAAAACCTAATCTTCTTAATTATTTGAAAAAATTCTGAATAGTTTATATTATAATATCCGAATTTACTAGTAGTAGGCTAATATATATGTAGTCGTGGAGTGGTAAATAAACAATTCTACTAAGAATTCTTAATTTCTCAACTAGCTTTTAGTTATTAAAAATGTAGAATAGTCGTGTCGGCAAGATTGTTCCAGTCGTTCAAGACAAAAAAAACTTGGAAAAATTGATGGATTTAATCTGAGTAATTGGTTTATCTGTAATTATTGTAGTATGATTTATAAACAGGTTAACAGTAAGTAAATTTTATTACGTTCTAAAGTTATATAACAGTCATCTCTCAATTAATTAAAAAGAAATTATTAAGGGGAAGAAGACTGAAATAACGCTCCAAGATCTTAGTGAATTATACTGTCTGGTCCT